TCTTATGGATGGTAAAACGAGCTACACAGGGTAAAAAAAAACATCATGTTCATGTTAAGTGATTTGCTGTTGAATTTGCACTACTTGCCGAACATTGCAATTCGATCCCTTGGAATAGATCATATCGAAGCACGATGAAATCATCAGAAAATCACTTCATTTTAGAGTGTATTGCACATCGTTGTTGATGTGCTGTGGTTTGAACTCGAAATGTCAACCATACCGATATTAACAATCTATCACTTAACGTTTAACTAATTTATCCTTGAATTTCATGTTTGCTGAAAATGGGTTTAAATAAATATATTACCTTGTTCATACTGCAAGCCTTGTTATATGTTATTCAGAATATGGCCAAAGAACATGTATTATATTACTACCCAGATCACATGTTTCCAAGTGACATTGGCCAACACTGCAAGGCTTGTAGTAGAAGCAAGACGATACATTGAGCAATAAATTTGATAAGTTTTACAATGTTTTGTAATAGAAGTTCTATTATACACTATTATTAAATACAGCATCAATTTCATAATACTCACGCTCTAGAATGCAAATTGTTTCGGGTTGAAATGAAGAATTATAGCTTCGCTCAATTGACTTCATTTGTTGTTGACTTGCCACCTTCGCGAGTAATGTTTGGCATGTGCGTTTTTGACATTTGCTTCCAAAAGCAAAACTAATCAAATTCAATGGATGAAAACAGTGGTGCCAATTCAAATGATAATCATTTTGATTTAAAGGTGTTATACAGTACATATTTTACAACGAAAAATCATTGTGTCTCGCAAACGCAAATCACTTGAAAATCAATGATAAATCACTTCGATTCGTAATACCGCATGACAGACTAAGTCAAGTGCAAGATCATTTGGATTAGATATGACAACTTTTTACCGTGTATATCTGTGAATATTTCATACACGCTATTTTGAGGCTACTCAGTGACTGGGAGGATCGCACCCATTTGTGCATGCTGTATGGAGCTGTCAAAAAATGAGTAAGCTGGTTTTGCTCCGATGAGTGGAATCTACCCAGATTCTGGGTAAATGGTGCACTTTGAAGTTATGAGTAGGCGATTTTTGCGTAATGAGTCTAAAATTTGTTTTTAGATGTGAAGCAGTGAAAATGAATAGCTAATTCATAGCATGGATGACGAAAGTTATCACTAGCTAGGGGCTGTTAATAAACTGCATAGGGGGTCTGTCTATGTAGTTAATGAACAGCCCTCTAGTTGATGAGGAATTCAACTCTAACAAATAGGTTGGTATCAATAAATACAGAATTATAATTTTCATATTTTTTTTTTTAATATTCTTCCTGGACGAAATAATTTGTATATAAAGCATTTATGGGGCATGCATTCATTTCAATCAAAATACGTAAGGATTTCTCAGTTGACAAATGTCATCACCTGAGTAACCGTTACTCAGTTTCCTCCATAAGCACGTTAACTCAAATTTGAATAAAAGCTTGTTTACTAATTTTTGGGTAACTTCCCTTTTGGCTGGACTGAGTGATTTTCGACTCAAAAATGAATATCCTCAAAGTAGCATGTAGTATAGGGTAGAGCGCTACTTTGTTGTAATCGCCCATTTCCGTTCTATCGATCAGAAAAGATCAATAATATCAATGATTTCACCGTGCACAAATCAATTATAGGTTTGTGCGTTGCGTTAGTTCAATAGCTACAGCATAAATCCTGTTAGAGCGCTTTGTATGAATTTTTACGCTCATTGTTTTCGAAACAAAAGAAGCGCTCCTAGCGAATCCCCTTTTTCTACGTTTATCCGTAGGACGGAGAAAATCTAATGGCGTTTCAATGCGTTAGGACGGAATTGAAACTCGTAGAACGAATTTAGAATCAAGAAGCAGTATTAGCTTTTAAACAGTATCTCAACAATTTGAGACTCTTTATCAAATCTAACGGTACGTATGGAAAGGCGAATAAATTTAGAAGTCATCTTTGACAGATATATATCATTTATTTGTTTAAACTCGTTCAAAAAAGACACGTAAGGCGCGGGTTGTGCTTAGTAGGACGGAAGTTAGATCAAAAACCCTATACGAGGGAAATCACTGTGCCTGTTTTGTTAAAAAGTAAAACGTGCATCACATAACACGAATGAGAGTTTTTCTTTGTACAACATTTGATGCCAAACGAGCAGCCCAGTGGCAGGTGCGTAGGCAACATGTTATTCAGTGACAGCGGGCCCAGCACAGCAACATAAATGATTTGAGCCCGGGACATGCTGCCTACTGTCAAACGCTGCTGTTGGTATAGGCCTTGTCACTGGCCTGTAAACGAGTGATAAGATTGGTAAGCGCGAGATCGTCGGGCACTGCTGGAACTGTTAGCCAGTATACGCTGACCGTTGCCAACCATTAAGTTCAACTCCTCCACGAGAAGGAGAAAGGTGAGTGATGACAGAAGATGTCCATCCAGGACACCGTTTCTCATTCTGGTTGACGTTCGCCGAAACCTGTACTTATGACCCTCCCAACAAGCGGAAAATTATCATCATGGTACTCGGACAATGCTGCAACATAGAAATCAAGAAGGATTTGACCTAAAATATCCACTGGCGAAAGTAGAAGCAGCAATAGATCTTCAGTTGCTTTCTAGTGTTAGCCTTAACTTTTGGGTACTGAATTCATCTAAGTTTGCTAAACATGTTTTGGTGGGAGAGTTAAACTGCTACGTCCATGGCTTTGAACTTTTGAGCACCCTAATAAATAAACAGGATACCCAGGAAATCACTGAGATTGTTCATTAACAACACAAACATAAATAGTGCTGCTCTTCTTCTTTCTCAAGGCTCTCAACTTTTTACTTAACTCCGTTTATCCTCATCGTCCATCAAATAATTTATACGAATACGAATACTTCATTATTTCTCAATAGTGATGGAATACGACATGCACTAAACTAAGGACACGGGATATACAATAGATCAAATTACTGGTCACAGTGGTGTTATGTCCCGAACAGAGGAAAAAAATGGAGTGGTTCTGCGGGAGAAACTGCTGCGGTTTTGTAGCATCTGCAGAATGGTGGGATCGTTCTGTGCTGGATGTTCTTGACACCGTATATCAATGCTGCAATTGGAACTGGATTCTGAAGTTATCCTTGTTTATACAATTTGCTTTCAGTCCGTATCCTATTGCCATCTGGGGAACTGAATTACCTCCGCCTTCGATATCATCCAGTCCCCAACACTCGCCGGTGAAATTAGGGAAAACAAAAAGGCAGCTATTCCCGGTGCAGAGTAAATATCTCCTTTGTTCTCCGTGGAAGAGCTTCTCCTATTTTTAAACATATTAACACGTACAGGGTTACAGCCACTAGATTGATTATAAACAACTTATTAAAACATATTTATTTCTAAAACTCTAATTTTTTTTTCTCTTAGTCCTAACACACACAAAACAGATTAAAATTTCTCGCACGCAGACTCCACACACGGTTGCCGGTGCCGGTGGTGTAGTGGTAAGCGTGACTGCTTTCTAACACCCCAATGGGTCTGGGTTCAATCCCAGCCGAGGTCAGTGTGATTTTTCTGAGGCATAAAAATCTCTGGTCACGTCTTCCTTCGGAAAGGAAGTAAAGCCGTTGGTCCCGGCCCATGTGTGTTGTGAATGGGTGCAATATCCTACGCAGGTGTGGAAGCTGCCTTCCTGCACATTCGGTTGCCGTCAATGGATGGCAATCGATGTCCGTCGGTGATTGGCACTAGATTGTGGAATAGAGACCGACGTTAAATAAAGGAAAAAAAAAGAAGATTCCACACACGGTCGATGGTCTGTAGATTTCTTCTGTAAACAATATCCACTGATCATAGTCTAACCACGATCGCTACTCATGCGATGTTTTCGCTCGGGTCCATGAGAGTGAGTGCTCCCGTTCTCGCTCCTGAATTGCTCACCACTGCAGCCTCTTACAACGACGTATGTATAAGTTAATTTCTCATTCGGACTTTCGAAGTTTTTAAAAAGATACTAAGTACGAACTACACTGTTTGGAAGTTAAACACAGAATGATTTAATCAGTAAATAAAAGCTTACATTCAACCTATCGTAAATGCCGTAAAGATCTTACACAGCAATTCCGATCTAGGCCGCTGCTGCTGAGTCGTCGTCCGGGTCCGAGGTTCGGGATAGTGCTGCGTCGTCAGGTCATTGGCGTTGTTGTTAACTGATATCGATGGTGACAACCGTCGTTGCCGTCTCGTGCTGAGTCGTCAGGTGCACGTCGTTGGTTTGTTGATGTCGTTGCTACCGGCTATCGATGATGATGATGATGATGATGGCCGTGGATCTGCTTAGCCTAGCGATTGGATGAATTCCTTGATGGTCGCTGGCGTCTTGAGTGTTGGGTGATCGGGGTTAACCTTGTTAACTTATATACAAGCGAAACGATCCAATCCCTCTCGCCTGGCTTGATCGATGACCATTTATCCTCTGCTCGGTGTGTAGATAAGAACACAACAAGCAATGCTGCAACCTCGTTGAAAGTAGGTCACCATTGTGCATAGCCAGTGCGATGATGTAGCTAGGTAGGGCTGGTGTTAGTTTCAAACATTCCTCACCCACCCTTAAATTTCTAATTTCTGAAAAAAAAACCTCTTCTAATGGGAACGGAACGGGAAAGGATTTGGGTCTACGCTGATGATTGCTAGTTCTGGTCAACGTCGTGGACAGGCAGTTTTTCTATACCATTATACCAGTTTCCGTTTTCGGCGTTACAACACGCACCAATCCATCGTTTCCTGGATGCAGTTCAACGATCCGTACCATTCGCCACTTCATCGGTGGCAGATTATCGTCCCGGAAAACAACCAATTTGCCAACCTCGATATTAATTGCTGGCTTCCAGCGGTTAGACCTACCCTGCAACTGGCACAGATACTCTCTTCGCCACCTTCTCCAGAAATCCTGCAGCATCCGTTGGATCCAGCTTCCAGATTCGGCTCGGAGAACGACTGTAATGAGGAGCCAATCTAGAAGTGGCCAGGCGTCAGAGGCTCAAAATCAGTGGGATCATCGGATATCGGCGTTAACGGTCGTGAGTTGAGACAACCTTCAATCTGCACCCGAAGTGTGGTCAAATCTTCGGTCGACAACGGTGTTTCTCCAACGACCTTGAACGAGTGGGTTTTAGCTGACCGTACAGCTGTCTCCCACAGTCCTCCAAAATGTGGTGCACTGGGTGGATTGAAATGCCACTGGATTCCCTTTTCCGCGCACTCCTTGATGACCGTTTCTCTGTGGTCTGAGCTCCGTAACAGATTCAAGAACTCCTGAATCTTTTTCCTGGCTCCAACGAAGTTCGTCCCATTATTGGAATACAGGTCTTGACATTTTCCTCTCCTGGCAATGAAACGTTGTAGAGCTTGCAAGAATCGGTCTGTGCTCAAGTCCGTTTCCAGCTCTAGATGAACCGCTTTAGTACAAATAAAAACGAAAACTGCAACATATACCTTGACTACCGGTCGTCGGGGGAACGGGTCTCACATAAAACGGATCGAAATAGTCTACACCGATCTGCGAAAATGGTCTAGACACGGTGACTCTTGGCGCTGGCAGCTCCCCCATGAACTGCTGAATTGGTGAAGGTTTTGCCCGAAAACATTTCAAGCATTTATGAACATTGTTTCTTGCAACGCTTCGTCCACCCAATGGCCAGAATCGTAGGCGAACAACTCCGAGTAATAATTGCGGACCAGCATGCATCAGCTGCAGATGATAATGTTGGAGGACCATTCGGGTGAACTTATGCCGTGCAGGAAGCACCATCGGATGTTTTGTATCCTCTCGCTCTAAAGAATGACCAAGTCGCCTCCAATTCTAATGACGTTATCGTCGGAAATGTATGGATTAAACCATCAACGTGGAGATTTTCTCGAAACAGTTTCCCCTTCCACTAGTCGATGAAAACCTCCTGTTGAACACGCCAAACTATAGCATATTCCGCCTGCCGAATTTCCTGGGTTGACAAGAACTCTGCTGGCATCCTTTATTGTGGATCGGTCTGCAGCAACCGCATTAATCTCAGCCAAATTGCTGTTTTCCGAACGAGATCCGTGTACGACGTAAACTTCTTCAGGTACCAATTGTTGAACTCCGTGTTCACCGACAATGCACAACCGTTCGTCGCAATTATTTTGAGAAACAGGCCATTTATCAGGACCTTTCTTCAACCAATCTGGTCCCTCCCACCAGAAAGTATTATTGGTAATATCCCTCGGAGAAATCCCTCTGGGAATCAAATCCGCTGGGTTTTCTTTGCCTGGGGCGTACCACCACTAAGTTGGTTCAGCAATGTCTTGGATTTTCGAGACCCGATTCACGATGTAAGTGGTCCAGACGTTTGGAGAAGCTTGTATCAGTCCAGAAATATGATTGAACAGGAATTCTAGTGGAGTCTCGAACCTTTTCATACAGCTGCGCGGTCAGTAGAGCGCCACTTAGCTCCAATCTTGGGATATACTGTATCTTCAACGGTGCCACCTTGGATTTGGACGATAGTAGTCGAACCGAATCTTTATATATACGCCATATGCTTTGTTCGAAGCATCGGAAAAGCAATTAATCTCGATCAATGTTGCTTCTGGAACCATGACGCATCAATCGATACGAATGCTGTTGAACAGAGGAAGCTCGTCGTAGTATTTCTTCCACATCTCACCCACCGTCAAAGGCAGTGGCTGGTCCCAATCTAATGCTTGGTCGTCGTCGTTCCGAATCCTCCACAGAAGCTGCATAATGACCTTTGCTGTAGTGATTGCAGCACCGAGTAGCCCTAGAGGATAGAATAAACTGGCCATCACTGACCGAACTTCCCTTTTGGTTGGTTGGTGTGATGCATTCCAACCCGGGATGGTAAATTGAAACTTCAGTTGATCGAAAGTAGGCATCCAAGTCAACCCTAGAGTTTTGACAGTCGGATTAGGGTCCAGATTAATCCCTTCCGAAACTCGAATAGCCAGATTGTCCTCGCAAACGCTTTCCATTGCTGCTTGATGGTTTGATGCCCATTTCCGAAGCTTGAAACCTCCTTTGGAAGTCATCTCGTTGAGTTGCTTGCATAGCTCCCGTGCGTTTTCCACCGTATCCGCTTCTGTGATAACGTCATCCATATACGTATCCTCCGTGGTTGCCCTTGCAGCCATTGGGTACTGTTCTTCTTCATCCATTGCAAGCTGGTTTAATGTAAGCGTTGCCAAAGAAGGCGCAGGCTTCGTTCCATACGTGACAGTGTTCAGTTTGTACACGCCTACTCGTTCCGACGGATCGAAGCGCTATAGAATGGAATGGAGTGGGCTATCCACTTTTAGAACAAAGATTTGCCGGTACATCTTTTCTACATCGGCTACCAGCATGATTAGCTGGTAAGCAGGCCTATTCTGACCCAAAACATGAATCCTTCCGATTGTGCAACCTTTTATTATGATTGAGGAAACTCTCGACGGAAAATTAAAACAAAATGTGGAAAAAACTTCCCCTTTACTTTGAAGTAAACAAACGTTTACTACGTTAGCAACGCTTGTCAAAAAGTCAAATCAAAGCAGTGATACCTTTCAATATTAAATTCTATCTCACACTTATCATTGAGTGCCCTAGCGTGCCGATCAGTGTGCTACGATGTGTTTCGGCACAGTTCCATAGTACAAATGCTCATTTATATCAAATTTTACATATTTTAGTGACGTGTCATAAACATGTTTGCTGATCACCGTTGTGCTATGCATGTGGAAATGACCTAATTTGAGTGAATGGTATTTCTCACATCACTAGTATGATTAGTTGAGATACCTCAACATTTGTGATAATTGTGAAAATTTCAGCATTTTAGGAAACTACTACGTATAAAGCTTACACTATTGAGCTAAACCCATTCAAACATTTCGGTAATTATTTTCTTGAGGAATCCGATATCTCACTTTTAATGAGTCTGAGGTCCTTGACAACATTTCTCAGAACTATAAAATGCACAACTTTTCCGAGAAAACATCCTTGTAGGACGCTCCGCTCAAAAGATAGATTCTAGTGACTGTGAGGACTACCCTAGCACTGCGATCATCAATTTAGCCAGCTGACCAGCCGTATGATGAAGCAGTAGGAAGGTAGATTGTTCGACCGTGGCTTTGTTCCAGTCATCGACAATCAACAACAGATCACTTTCGCTTTCTAAATGGATGAGTCTCACGGGAGATAAATTTCTGTTTGAGAGCGAGAGATTTGGTCTACGAACCGTTCGTTGGTGAAATTCACCACGTTCACGATCGTATAGTGGGATTGGGACAATTAGGTTTAGATACGAATTTGTATTTTTAGTAATAAGTGACTCAAGGTCGAAGATGGTCCTGCGAGGCCAACAATAAATATAGTTTGTTAATGTGAATAATGTAGTGTTGTAGTGCGATTGTGTGAGTCCTAAGGAAACTGATGTGTTTTTTGTGTGTGCTAAGAAGAAAGGTCTAAGAGCAAGAAATGTGAGGCTCACCTATTCATCGCTGACCCATATCCCATCGGTCAACCAACCTACCACTCAAATCCGAAGCCGACGGTCAGAGTGTCCACCACCGAAGTTTAGCCACCTAGTCTCAGGTAATCCTAACAGCCACCTTTGCGATAGTAATACGAACTAATCAGAAACCACCAAAAGCTGGCTCTTTGTAAACTAACCAACTTTGTCCAAGACTGCAAATCTGTACGATGCGTACCCACGGCGCCAGAGATTTTGGCCACGCTACCGGCATAGTTGCCCCATTGTGTGCTGGAGAAGGAAATTCAACTCGAGGTAGGAAATTCATATTAATGTTTAAGCAGCCTTTGGAACTGCATACATTCGACACGTAGGTATGATGCTTACTATAAAATCATTGAATGCTCTGGTATTGAATAACTGAATCCCCCTAATTTTCCATTAAAGTTGTACTAAGCACCTACTTTTTGGAAACCAAACTTTGATTTGAGAAAAGTTACAGTATTCTATAGATAGGAGAGGAAGGGTAATAATGACTTGAGCTCCATTTTCCTCAAAAAACAGATACCATAAACTAACGACGACCGGAACGGTAAAATCATTCTACATATATTTTGCATGATGCTGCAAGTACATAATGGTGATGCAAGATAATTTTTCATTAGGGGTTGTCCTCCAAATTGAAGAACAAAGGGGTGCTTACACCCCATATGATCGTTATACCCCATCCTCCCAAACCAACACTATCATCGGTCCTTTTCAAGCCCACCAACTGTTCAAAAAAGAGCTTAGTTTTCTGTTAATTGACATTTTATTTCATAATCATCCTTTTAGTCCTTGATCTTAAATTCAGTGGGGAACTTGTGTACATTTCGTCTCATGTTCCTATTTTTACATTAATATTTGATTGCAATTTAGGATCCAAATGTAAAAGACTATGTATTCGCATTTTTATGAGGTCCTGAATTTGACCAAATACGAAATCCAAAATAGGACCGAAATTATAGGTTACTTATACTGTATTTTAAATCAATATTAAGAAAAATGCACGATAGGATCTCTAAACAGTTAAACATTGTCTACGCTAACCATGCGGTCGTGTCTTGTGCACAGCCCCACACATTTCTACCACGATTGTGTTTGGAACGCATCAAAGTTTGTCTCTTTTCCCTCGTTAAATGCTGAACCAAAACCAAACCAACTTTTACCGAGAAAAATCCAAATCTAACGCATAAAATGCCGAAGATCCAATGCGTAGCGATTGAAAGCCCTCGCGACCCGCCACCCTAATTACAGACCTCACACGCAGTTTCGCCTTCGGAAACACTATAATTTGGACAACTCTCGTTTTATATCGTTTGAAAGCAGAAAACCGAAATTTCCATCAAACTTCATTATAAAGGTCGGTACCTCTCCATAAAGAGACAATAGCCAAATGTCTAGAAGACTGTCATCATCATTGGGTTTTGTGTCCACCGGGGGGAAAGGGAATTCAAATTGATTGCTTCTCATCGTCGTCGACAGACCCCGCATCTCAATCATACTGATTTGAACCGATTTTATTACGTGCCTACGTGTCGTCACACTTTGAATAGTTTCATCAGTAGAGGAAGGTACGTGATTCCCGCCCGAATACCAGCATTGGTCGAATCCCTGCGCATCGGACGACATGGAGCGACCAACCGAGCGAGAGTGGAAAAAGTGACAATTTATGTCCTGCAGTGTATAAATCTAGCCATGATTATGTCAGGAATGTCTTCACGCGCGGCTCATAGTCCGGAATTCCAGTAGCTCCGGAATTCCTTTTTTGCAATAAGCGACCATATGGGCGCGTTCCTTTCTGCAGTCGTCCCGGTGGAGGCTGGGCTCGGTGGCTAAGAATGAGACCATATATTTTGCGCTCAAATTGCCCCTGAGGGCATTAGTGTCAGTGCGCGGTGGCCGGTTGAATGATAGTAAGGAATATATTATCTCATTCTCGCTTTAATGGCCCGCCGTTTTTGCGTATTGCTCCCGGGCGGCATCATCGGCGGTGGTGTCGGAAGTCTACGAGGGCCTTCCCGGTATCACCGGGGTCTCGGCCATACCGATGATGATGACCGGCATCATCATCAAGACGATGGCAGCTGCTTTGCGGTTGCTGGCTTGCAGATCCCTGGTCCTATAACTGCTGGTCGGTACGACATGGAGAGCTCCCGTTTTGCGGATCGTTCATCAGATTGGATTATGCCGGCCGGCTGGTCAGTGCAAACCGGGGAGCGCTTGGATAAAACATAGAAAAGCTGTGAAAAATAACATAAGTTGAATATGATGGCTCGGCGGCTTGTGTTTTTCTGCGTAATTTATGAGGTATTTAGGAAATAATATCAAAATGCCATTCGTGGCCTTCGGGGTGAGGTCGGTCGTCGGTTTATTATATTACGATTTTGTAGCTGAAGAAGGTGCTGTAGAGTCATGGAGATGTTTCACGAGATGAGCTTTTATTGCTTTGGTTATTGATTAGGGCAAATGACGGCTTCGGCAATATATTTAAGCTATTATCGTAAGGAGGTGAAGGAAGTCCTAGTTCAATTCCCGGTCCGGTCTAGGAAATCTTTTTCCTAGGCATAGAGTATCGTTTTGCTTGTTCCACAGTATACAAATTCATGCAATGTTTGGCGTAGAAAGCTTGTAATTAATAACTGTGAATGTGCAATAAAACTAAGCTCTCGCAGAAGATGTGTAGAAAGTCAGGATCGAACAAGAAGATTTGGTGTTGAATGCGATTATTCACTCCACGCAATTTCTCAAATTCGCATTCGATTAATACTAATTGAATACCCTCGGTGTAACTCGAAAATCACATTCCATAAAAAAATAATCTGGATGTCCTTTGGAACTATCTTCAAAGCAGTGAAGAGAGGAGATTGACCGATTCTGTCGGGAGATAACCATCCAGTAAAAGTGTGAAGAAATTTCCGTGGTAACTTGAAAAAAAAAACTTTCAGAGAAAGTTGGTTTTCTATCAACATGAAGCTTTAGTGTGAAAATTTATTAGCTAGCGAAAATTCTGAAGAGGGTAGGTTCATAGTTCCGCTAGAGTACGGCAGTGTGGAAATTGAATAGAAGTTGAAAATGAGCGAAGACTTCCTAAGAACATCCACCTTTTTCTAATCGGATCTGTAACCTCTGAAATATTTTGAGTAAATGTAAATTTGTAATGTTTGAATTATATAAATACAAAAATTCAAATAAATAAATATAATTTCGCTTGAATCTCAAGAAAATTTTCGATGTAACCAAGGTGCTGCAGCTACAAGGCACATTCTATAGATTGCCCCTACGCATGTGATCTGGTGGTGCATCGTACGATCCTTTTGTGCAGATGGAATCTGGAATGCTATATAAGAGCTTTCGGCCCAAATGGACGCTCTCTGATACCTGGAATAGCGCAGAAGATAAGGGTGATAATTTCGGCAAGTGCGAATTGGTAGTGAAACGTTTTTTATCGGACCATCTTAAAGACAGTGTTTCTAAATTCGGCAAGAAACTAAAATTTAATTGCGTTTGCAATTGTGGGTTTGTTTATGGTAAACTTGTTACAGTACGTGTAGTTAGTAACTAGAAGGTCTACTTCCCAGTAGCCCTGGTCCTCCTTATGGTCTACGCTGAGGCCAGCAATTAAGTGAAGAGTTCAGTTGAAGAGTAAGTGAGCTGAGACGGACATTGCCCGTAAAGTATTCCGACTGTGATTGCAAGGTGTCGCAAGTGAGTAAAACCGGGATAATTCCTCTCGAAGTTGTGCACGCTTTGCTATCCACCGCTATCCAGGTCGCCAAAGGTCGTCCATCAACATACAATCAGCCACCACCAACAAATCCTCCGACTGAAATCGGAACCGGAAACAGCAGAAGAAGGTGTTCCCCAGGCCGGTTGGGACCCGATGAAGCTCAGCGTAGCCGATTCCGACTGGTTGGGAACTGGTACAGCAGCCAATGGTAACCTCGTGGTGACGGTATCACGACCAGCAGCGGGAAAATAATCGTATAGAGTGAGTCCATTCTTTTTACACCTTTCTCTCAAATGTAATTGTTTAAATAAATTGTGGTTGGAATTCTAAATTAATCGATAGTTGATTTGCTTTCCGTAAAATATTGCTTGTGGTACTTTTATTTTGTGCGCCAAAGAAATTGATTTCAGCTTCGTCAGCTTTCGGCATCAAAAGGGCCCGGCTAGCTAGTAAAGAAGTCCACAAATACGGTTGGAAATCTTCAATCAACGTCACTAAGTAGAATCGTATTCAACTGAAGCTGTTCCTTTACGAAGTGGTGTCTTTAATCGTTGTACTTGCTTCTGGCTGAATAGCCGATTTATTTTTCGGCTGCGAATACTAAATGAATTCAAGCCATAGAGTGCTTATCGTAGTCGGCATACCTTCCGAGGAGCCTTGGTGATGATGATGATAGTAGTCTACCACTCATTGTAACACGGAAACTAGTCCGATAGCTGTGGGCTCTCCTCACTGTTGAACTTGATTAAGTTTAATAACCTCTTATTGTCATCAGAAAATCGCTGTATGAAGGGCCAAAAACGAATGGATGAATTGATAGGCAATTCACCTATTCATTTCCTTGGGACAGTTAATAATATACTTCCAACAACATGATCAACCAATTGGTCAGAAAATGAGTCATCCAAAAGGAATATGCCACAATGAATGGGGAGAAGAGGTCGCCCTTTATCAACGAAATGTTAGCAACAGGGAGTCGACATCTTCAAATCTCTTCAATTGGGTGGTCCTCCTCGTCCCGAATTTTTTATATGTAAAAATATTGAATAGGGGAAATGGCTCTAATGTTGGTCTATGGATCTAAGATTGGGCCCATCGCTTACAATCTGCTATTCATAAATTTTATCTAGATGAACGCCTCATTGGGATGGTACTAATTGATATTTTGGTCGCTATTGAAAATTTAGTCGATTCCTGCAATTATGTATGGGCCCAAATTAGGGGCATTTAGGCCGAAATAACATCCATTTCCCCTACTATAATCAGATAATGAGAAGCATAACGTCTACCAAAAATATGCGAGTCGATTGAAATCTGCCGAAAATAAATGAGGTAGATGTATAGGTGAAAGATTTTTTCCCCTCTGTTCGGGACATAAAACCACTGCGACCAATAATTTGATCTAGTATATCCCGTGTTCTTAGTTTAGTGCATGTCGTATTAATCAATTACTATTGAGAAATGATGAAGTATTCGGTTTCGATACAGTTGTCATTCTTGCCTTCATCGCAAGGAATCTATTCTAATTTAAAGGTGAGCCCTCTTGTCAGTCTAAATTGGCTTCCTTAGCAACAAAATTAAGAAATGACACCGATAATGACCATGTGTCAGAACCCTAGTTGTTGCCACAGGAGTGAAAATCGCTCGTCGAAGTTTCGGACGTCTATATAGCAAACACCAGATTTGCTTTGGGTTAGCTTTTAGAGATTTTAGTCCTTTTAACGTGTTCGATTCACTCTGTAGCCTGTATGTTTGTTGTTCGTTTAGGATAATACAAATTCAATAGAAATAACAATTTTAATTATAACTTCTGACATTAGGTATTAACTTTATATTTAGAATACTCCTGACTATATTTTGCGCTATTGTTCACATTTAGCTTTTATTGTTCATTGCCCAGATTGACAGGTCAACTTAACGTCACCTTCTATACCATTTCGCTACGTTCCGTTTTGAAGCGGCGCTGCAGCACAAGATGTGTGTTGGCTAGGTGAACATTTTCGCGAACATTCCCCGACCCGTATTGCTTGGGACTTCCATCAGCTATACCTCCTTCTGCTACATCCAACACTGCCAGTTTGGTTACTGGCCGCCGGAACACACCACTGCATGTCTGCACATCAACGCATCGAACTCTTCCATCCTTCCCTGGATGTGTCTTAAGAACCTTGCCCCGAACCCAGCTGTTCCGTACAGCTTCATCCATGATGATCACTAAATCTCCCGCTCGCACTGGTTTGACTTCGTTGAACCATTTCGTGCGGCGACTGAGGGTAGGGAGATATTCCCTAATCCACCTTGTCCAAAACCTATCCAAACAAGCCTGAACGTGTCCCCAGTTGGTTCGGAGTGTAGCTGCAACGTCCACAGGCTGGTTTGCTGGTTGTACGACGCCACTGGAACTTAACATCAGAAAGTGGTTGGGAATGAGAGCTTCCTCATGTTCTGCGCTTACCGGAACATACGTAAATGGCCTGGAGTTGACCATCGCTTCTACTTCGACCAATACAGTGCCAAAGGATTCCTCGTCCGGTTTCCTGGAGGTGGAGAGAGTGCCTAGACCAACCTTGACGGACCGAACTAAGCGGATTGAACCGCCACGACGTATTCCGGTTGGTGAATGTGTTGGCCAATGAACTGTTGATTTGGGCTATCTCCCGCTTCAAATCGTTGCTTGCGCCCTGAAAGTTCGTGCCCTGATCGCTATAGATCTCTTGCGGAGCACCTCTTCTAGCGATAAACCGCCTCACCGCCATTTTGCAGGATTCTGTAGACAATGAGTTCACTACTTCAAGGTGGATGGCCCGTACCGTCTGGCAAACAAACAGAGCCACCCATCTCTTGGCACTTGCTCTGCCAATCCGGATAAAGAACGGTCCACAATAATCCATACCCACGAAGGTGAACGGTCGAATGTACGCTGCTAGCCTGCATTCTGGAAGCGATGCCATACGAGGAGGTTGAGGCGTGGCCTTTCGAACGACACACCACTTGCATGTCTTTGCTACTTTGCGGACAGCATTTCGCAAACTGGAGACATGGAACCTCTGTCTTACCTCGTTCACCACAGTCTCAGAGTTCCCATGACCGTATTGTCGATGATACCAGTTCAGGATAAGATCAGTGACGTAGTGGTTTTTTGGCAGAATAACCGGAAATCTAGCGGCGTACGTTGCGTAATGAGTGGCACCAATACGTCCATCCATCCGCAGCATTCCTGTTTCGTCCAACATCGGTGACAATTTGCAGAGTGGACTGGTTCTCTCGAGTCTGGGGGCTTGGTCCGGAAATCGTTGATGTTGTTCTTCAGCTGCGATCATCTCGTCGGGATACGTTTCCGTTTGTATCCAGCGAAAGAGTGTTTCTTCCGCGAACTGCAGCTCTTCCTGCGACAAGACTTCACCGGCTTCTATTTTTTCTCCACGCACCTTTCCAGAACAGTTAGCACAGAAACGGAGCATGTACGCAGTTACTCGCTGGAGTCTTTCCCACTTGGAGAAACGTCTGTAGTCGATCAACGGTTCCGTGATTTCACGATGGTGTGCGTGGATGACTCTTAAGTCCTCTGGTATGTTCGGTTCTGGTAGCTCGTTTCCTGGCCATTCCAATTCAGCCTTGTACAGGAACTCGGGACCCGTAAACCACCGAGAACCGTTTTTGAAGCATGGTCCTTCTCCCCATTTTGTTGCCTCGTCAGCCACGTTCAGCTTTCCCGGAACTTTCCGCCATTCGTCTACACTGGTTTCGCTCAGGATTTCACCGACTCTCACTGCGACAGACTGTCGATATCTACGTTGATCCGACTGGATCCATGACAAGACCGTGCTTGAATCACTCCAGATCATTCGACGTCGAATAGGTAATGTGTGGCTCTCTTGAACAGACTTCATCAGGCGACTGCCAAGAACTGCCGCTTGCAATTCCAGTCGTGGAATGGACAGTGGTTTCAACGGGGCTACCTTGGACTTTGCTGCCACCAATGCGCAGCGTACTTGTCCTTGATCGATGATACGGAAGTATGCCACGCAAGAAAACGCTACTAGACTTGCATCCACAAATACATGTAGTTCTATGTTGTCCAAGCCGGCACTGCTGTATCCTGGAAAGTAGCATCGCGGCACCGTTTCTCGATCCAGTCTTTTAATTGCTTGCACCCACTGACGCCATCGACTGCAGATTTCCTCCGGAATTCGTTGATCCCATCCTATCTTGCTTCTCCATATGTCTTGCACTAAACATTTTCCGTGAACAACGTATGCTGCTACTAGTCCCAGTGGATCAAAGACGCTCATGAAGACTCAAAGAACTTCTCACTTGGTCGGAATCGTATCGCCATCCAACAACTGCGCAACGTCTTCCCGCAAGCAAAGTTTGAAGGTGAATTCATCTTTGATGGGCTGCCATCGCATGCCGAGGACTCTTTCGATCCCTGTAGACTTGTCCGTCGCGAAGCTTTTGCATTCGCTTGCAGAGCTTTCCCCGACTCGTCGAACAACTTCTTCCGAATTTGACAACCAGTTACGGAGCTCGAACCCAGCCTTTGCATGAACTTGCTTAACGTCTGACGCTATTCGGATTGCCTCTTCTTCGGTGTCCCTACTGTCGAGGTAGTCATCGACGTAGTGGTTGTTGATTATTGCTTCGACGGCTTCTGGAAATTCTGTTCTGTACTCCTCTGCATTCCGGTTCTTTACGTACTGCGCCGAGCATGGTGAGCACGTTGAACCGAAAGTGGCAACATCGATCACGTAGACTTCGACTGGTAGTGATGGGTTATCATGCCATACGAAGCATTGCGATTGACGATCCCAGGCACGAATGAGAAGTTGGAAAAACATTTCCCTAACATCCCCTACCACAGCTATCTGTCGCTGTCGGAAACGGGTGTAGAACTGACTTGAGGGATGTTAGAAGATCGGGTCCTTTCAGAAGCATGGAGTTGAATGACACGCCTTCCACCTTCGCTGCCGCATCCCACACGATACGGATCTTTCCTGGTTTGTTTGGGTTGATAACCAATCCCAACGGAAGAAACCAGGTTCTGTGCGGATCAAAGTCTTCCAGTTCCTCCTGTGTCGCCTTATGTATGTACCCTTTGGCCTCCAGGTCAGCGATGTGTAACTTCACTTTGTTGTAAAGTTTCGGATCCGCAGACAGTTTACGCTCGAGACACTAAAGCCGCCGCTCTGCCATCGGGCGGCTTTCGGGAAACTCGATACAGTCATAACGCCATAACAAACCCGTTTCAAATCTTCCAGATGGTGTATGTCTGCGAATGATGTGATCGATTCGTATGGATGCAGCCAGGTCGAGTGATCGCACTGTATCACTTGAGGAGCCATGTCGGAGTAAGGCGAGAACCATACGGGCACTCATCGGTTAGAATGATTTCGCCTCAACCCATACTACTGCAAGGAAGAGAACCGAGATCCAACGACGATAAACAGAGAGAATCAGTCTGCTTCTACCACAGCTCGCGAACGGTCAACGGAGGGCGAACCTCCGCACGTATCAATTCAAATAAATGTTCGATGTGAATTAGCGTAAATATATGTCTTGTAGTTTTTCGTTCAAATAAAGTGTTATTAATTGTAACCGGTGTTAACGTGCATTGTGCCCCGAAGAAGTCCCCGAATTGTGCCCCGTAGAGTGTAATCCGGAACTCCAGGGATTGTTCAGCCAATGCCAGCGAAGTACCACCAACAGCAAACAGCTGGTCCAGCGATGCGACAAGGTCACCCAAGGACGAACATCGAAGGTATCCCAACATAATTTGGTCCTTCGAGCCGGATACTAGCCACCGGTGAGTCTGGTTGGGATACAAGCGAACACCGCCATTGCATGCCATCGAAGAAGTGCCTTTGTGTCCACCTGAAAGGATTTGCGCCATCACGGAAGGCCGTCATTATTCATCAAAGGACCTACGCCATCGCATACTGTCCTTTATCCCTACAAAGGGCATCTGCGCCATCATTGAACGCCGTCAATACATCGATCGCCATCACGACCGCTACTAGATTGGCGCCACCGCCTTGTGTATAAGGCCTCATTGCGCCATTGCATATTGGACCCAACTATTAATCAGCAATACTAATTGGCATGACGATTGCCATTTTCAACGATTGGGACTAGTGACACCGAAGCTACCAAGGATTAAACAACGATTTCCAGACGTTGGACAGGATTTGCAGGCCCACATAGTTCAACCTTAGTGTTGCTCTATCACCGGTCAGGTAGGTTGAACTAGTGTATGTCCGGCCGAAGCCTTTTTTCTCAGTTCTAACACCGACATTTCGACCTGTCTTTTTAACCATTCGGGAATCAATCGACTGGTGTGCCATCCGTTGAGTGAGCTGTTGAGTCATCATCATACGATTCCTTTGGTAACTGCTGATGACGGATTGGTAGTGAGGAATCCGTGAAACGCTAACGAGGAAGAACGACAAGCTACACCACGACGTCAACAAACCCTACGAGCTTGGACAACGGACATCGAACCTCTCGTCCAGGTAAATTTACATTTAGATATATGCCCGGCCGTAGCTGGTTCTATGTTGATGCTGCACCACAAAATAAATTTTACCTTTTCGATGAAATTTGGCTAAATTTCTTACGGACGCAATCCCTATGCTCAAGGGCTTCATTGGACGAAGCATTGAGTCGTTTTTGAGTTGTACAGTGCCATCTTTAGATTCTCCAGGTGAGGCTAAAGTATATGTCCTGCCGTCGCAGGCATTCTGTCGATATTACATAGCTGTTTTTCCGTTTGTTGCACTGGATATTCCGCTTTGAGACAACTTGCTACTCTGTTGCTGTACATGGAAGGTGTGTTCGAACTTGGCTGTTGGCGTTCTCTGTAATTCTCTAGGTGAGCTTTACGGTATATGTACAGCCGAAGTTTTGGGTCTTTGAATACTACATCCGCTCTTTTCTACCCTTTGGTCATTCACTGGATCGTTTTTGGAGTCTGAAGCTACTGACATTCGATAGAAAGCACAATCATTTTCGAGTTGGTTCTGATCGGTTGAGGGGCACCGCTGTTTGAGTCTCACAGGTGAGCTGAACAGTATATGTTCACCGAAGCGGACCAATTCTTGAAACTACATCCACGCTTTTCTCTCGCCTTTCGGAAAACATACTGCGTCGGCAAGATTCAACAATGGCAACCAAGGGATCAAGACAACTGAAGTCTCTCACGACGAAGCTCAGAGGCCTTCGCACTTCGTTCAGCAATATTAGACGGTTTGTTAGTGAGTTCAAGGAAGGGACAACAGCAAGTCAGATCAATGTTCGTATTGGTCGTCTCGATGAGTTGTGGGAATCCATTAATGAGACTTCTTGGGAGATAGAATCTCATGAAGATTTTGAAGACAACGAAGCATTTCATAAGGAACAGGAAGAGTTTGAAACCCGTTTCTACGATGTCAAATCTTTCCTGATGGATAAGGCGAACGAATTGCAAGAGATTCCCTCCCAAAATCAATCTATTCGGGGAGGCGATGCTACTTTGCATGGTGCGGTTGATCATGTCCGTCTTCCGCAAATAAAGCTTCAGAGTTTCGATGGGAACATAGATGAGTGGTTGAGCTTCAGAGACATCTACACTTCTCTGATTCATCACAAAACCGATTTGCCGCCAGTTGAGAAATTCCACTATCTCAAAGGATGTCTGGTAGGAGAGGCAAAGGCTCTGGTTGATCCACTACAGATCACTTCGAACAATTATCAGCTAGCATGGGATACGCTGCTAAAGCGTTACAATAATAGCAAACTCTTGAGGAAAAGACAAATCCAGGCGTTGCTAAAACTGCCGTCTCTCGTCAAGGAATCCGTTGATGAACTACACAAATTGGTGGAAGGATTCGATAGAGCTACTCGGAACTTAGATCAGGTACTCGAACCTGCTGATTACAAGGACTTGCTATTAGTGGAGCTCCTCAGTTCTCGTCTCGATCCAGCTACGCGACGAGGGTGGGAGGAATTTACGTCTACCAAGGAAAAGGATACATTTAAGGACTTAATGGATTTCCTCCAACGGCGAATCAAGATCCTTGAATCGCTACCAGTGAAATCGGAAGCCAAACGTGATTCTACATCACAGGAAAGGCGTAAACCTGTCTACCAGAAGGTTAGCCACAATGCTACTCAGTCCAACAGTGCACAATGTCCGTCCTGCTCAGAAACCCATGGATTACACATCTGTCCAGACTTCGTGAGGATGTCGTTATCCAGTAGGGAGTCTTTTCTGCGTAGTCATTCTCTTTGCCGAAACTGCCTAAAACGAGGTCATATCGCAAGAGATTGCTCATCGAGATATTCTTGCCGAAAGTGTAAGGCCAGACACCATACGATTATGTGTTTCAAGTCAGACGGAGTCAGCTCGAACCAGAGGTCATTCGGAAGTGGAGTTTCGGGTGAAGGCGCAAGGCAAAACGTAGCTGCTCAGAGCTCACAGGAGTTGAATGCTGCTTCTACAGAATCTGCATCGTCAAATATGGCAAAGGCTACGTCATCCCAGATGCTTTTGGCTACCGCTATTGTTATCATTGAGGACAGTCAAGGATCACGCTATCCAGCTCGTGCCCTACTCGACTCTGGTTCGGAATGTAATTTCATTTCGGAAGATTTGAGTAGGTTGATGAAGGTACCCAGCTACAAGGTCGATATTTCAATCCAAGGAGTTGGGCAGGCAAATACGAGGGTCACACGAAAGGTTCAAGCTACGGTCAAATCTCGGATTTCGTCATATTCGCGAACTATGGACTTCCTAGTACTGACAAGGGTGACTGCCTGTTTGCCTACTGCCTCGGTGCAGTATAGCAGATGGGGGATACCGGAAGGAATCGAACTTGCAGATCCAGAGTTTTTTCGATCAAGAAAGGTGGATTTGGTGTTAGGAATCCAGGCCTTCTTCAACTTCTTCCAATCTGGACGAGAGATTCCACTAGGTGACGGACTGCCTACACTCACTGAATCGGTGTTCGGATGGGTGATGTCCGGAGAAATCAATAGAGCAACTAAGGGTTCAAGATTCTCATGTAACCTCGCAGTCTCTGAAAATTTGGAGGAACTATTGTCACGGTTTTGGTCCTGCGAGGAAGTGGGTGCTGTCAACAATTATTCCCCAGAGGAAACGCGCTGCGAGGAGCAGTTTGAGCGTACTGTACGAAGGGAAGCAGATGGTCGATATACGGTGACTCTTCCTAAAAACGAGCGAATCTTGGAACAACTGGGGGAATCTAAGGAAATAGCGCTGAAACGTCTACAAGGTGTGGAAAGAAGACTGTCGAGGGATCCTAATCTCCAAAAACAATAGAACAGCTTCTTGGCAGAATATGCTGAGCTCGGTCATATGAGGGTAGTGAAGGATACGGACGAAGAGGTGGTGAAACGAGTCTTTCTACCCCATCATCCAGTTATCAAGGAGTCGAGTACCACAACCAAAGTCAGGGTGGTGTTTGATGCATCCTGCAAAACATCAACGGGCGTTTCCCTAAACGATGCGCTATTTGCAGGACCAATTGTGCAGCAAGAGCTGAGATCGATCATCCTACGAAGCAGGTTCCGCCAGGTTATGGTCGTTGCAGATGTGGAGAAAATGTTTCGGCAGATGTGGGTCACTCTGTTGGATACACCACTCCAATGCATCCTTTGGTTTGGACCGGATAACGAAATTGTTACGTACGAGCTGATTACGGTGACGTATGGTACGAAATCGGCACCATTCCTAGCTACTCGTACGCTCAAACAATTGGCAGATGATGAACGAGAGAGGTTTCCACTTGCTGCTCAAACCGTTTACGAGGACGTCTATATGGATGATGTGATCACCGGTGCGGATGATATTGAGTCAGCTATCGAGCTGCCACACCAGATCGATGCAATGTTGATAAGCGGAGGATTCAGGTTGAGGAAATGGGCGTCAAAAGCAGCGGAAGTGTTGAAGGACATTCCTAAGGAGGATTTGGCTCTACCCAGTGCACAAGGGATTGATTGGGACCGAGACGCAGAAGTCAAAACTTTGGGACTAACCTGGCTTCCCAATACAGATTGCTTCAAATTTCAATTCACCGTTCCACCAGTCGCTGATAATCAACATTTCACCAAACGAAGTGTACTAAGCATCGTTGCAAGATTGTTCGATCCGTTAGGACTGCTGGGTGCAGCAATTACGACAGCGAAGATATTTATGCAGCGGCTTTGGAGTCTGGAAGATGAGCAAAATCAAAAACTGAACTGGGACGACCGTTTACCGAAAACGGTGGGCGAGGAGTGGCGCAAATATCAACAACAGCTGCCGTTGCTGAATGAGTTGAGGATCCCACGATGTGTCGTCGCCTTTGAAGCAATATCTTTCGAATTCCACTGCTTTTCAGACGCATCGATGCTAGCCTACGGCGCTACTGTCTACGTACGCAGCGAAAACCGAGATGGGTCATTCATGGTGCACCTGTTGACATCAAAATCAAAGGTCGCACCAATTAAGGTACAATCACTACCGCGCTTAGAGCTGTGTGGAGCACTCCTATCCGCTCAGCTTTGGGAGAAAATATCGAATGCCCTGAAGATGGATGTCAAGGCTTATTTTTGGACAGATTCAACATGTGCGTTGCAATGGATCAGGTCTCCACCTGGAACGTGGACTACGTTTGTGGCGAATAGGGTGGCTAAAATCCAAGCGTTGACGGAGGATTACAGTTGGAACCATGTGTCAGGGAGCACTAATCCAGCGGATTTAATATCTCGTGGTATTCTACCAAACGATATCTCAAATAATGAACTTTGGTGGAATGGACCACACTGGTTGAAGGAGCCTAAGGATCAATGGTTATCGGACCCTATTCCACAGCAACATCCGCAAGAAGTGCGGAAGATAGCTGTATCATGCACCGCAGAGAAGGTTACGTCATTTATTTCGGACTATCTCGCTAAATTCTCGGACTACAATAAACTTCTTCGTTCCACTGCTTACTGGCTACGGCTGATCGGATTCCTAAAACGAAACAGTGAAGAAAGGAAAGGATTTCTAACTACAATTGAATTGCAAGAAGCAGAAAAATTGATTACCCGTCAGGTTCAGCAGGAACACTTCCCAAAGGAGATCAAGGCGTTGAAGGAAGGAAGCTCTGTAGCACGGAACTCCCCGTTACGATGGTTTAATCCAAGGATCACGGATGATAGTATCCTACGCGTGGGTGGAAGACTAGGTCATTCGAACGAGCCTCCGGCTGCAAAACACCCTATAGTACTTCCAGCAAATCACCATCTGACTGAGCTGATTCTACGCTGTTATCATCATAAATTGCTTCACGCTGGGCCTCAACTTCTTCTTGCTTCAGTAAGGCAACGTTTTTGGCCACTCGGTGGCAGAAATGTTGCTCGCAAAATTGTGCATCACTGCCAACGTTGCTTCCGAGCAAGACCTTCGTACATAGAGCAGCAAATGGGCGAACTTCCTACGGCTAGAGTTACTATTGCAAGACCATTTTCGAAGGCAGGAGTGGACTATTTTGGTCCTGTTTACATACGAGCTGGTAGACGTCAAGCAGCGATCAAAACGTATGTCGCGATCTTCGTCTGTATGAACACGAAGGCCGTTCACATGGAACATGTATCGGATCTCTCCACGGAATATTTCCTTCAAGCATTGCGACGATTCTTCGCCCGGCGAGGCAGATGCTCTGACATATATTCCGATAACGGAACCAACTTCGTTGGGGCTAAAAATAAAATGAATGAACTTTCCATACTACTGCGAGATCGTGATCATCGTGAGACTGTTACGAAGGAATGTACACAACAAGGAGTGCAGTGGCATTTCAACCCACCAAGTGCACCTCACTTCGGTGGCTTGTGGGAAGCTGCAGTACGTTCAGCAAAATATCACCTACTCCGAGTAATCGGAGATAATCCCGTCTCTGCAGAGGACTATCGCACTCTCCTAATCCAAGTTGAAGGTTGTCTAAATTCACGGCCACTAACAGCAATCTCGGATGACCCCACGGATTTGGAACCATTAACTCCTGCGCATTTCCTGATCGGAGGATCCATGCAAGCATTGCCAGAGCCCGACTATGGATCGGTACCGTTGAATCGACTTGATCGTTGGCAACTTGTACAACGTCAATTGCAAGATTTTTGGAAACGTTGGAGGACCGAATACTTGTCGCAACTGCAGGGCAGAACAAAACATTGGAAACCAGCCGTGGAGATAACAATAGACAGCTTAGTAGTAATTGTTGACAATCTACAACCACCAATGAAGTGGAAAAAGGGGCGAATTGTCGAACTTCACCCGGGAGCTGATGGCATCACTAGGGTAGTCACGGTGAAGACCACCACTGGAATAATTAAAAGACCAGTCACTAAAATCTGCTGCTTACCAATACAACACAATGCAGCATAGAAGTTCAGGATTGCTTCCCAGAATATCCAGTGCGTCGAAAGGGTTTTTTTTTTGTATATTTTCAGAAGCTACATAGAAACTTCAGGATGGGCGAGGATGTCTGCGAATGATGTGATCGATTCGTATGGATGCAGCCAGGTCGAGTGATCGCACTGTATCACTTGAGGAGCCATGTCGGAGTAAGGCGAGAACCATACCGGCACTCATCGGTTAGAATGATTTCGCCTCAACCCATACTACTGCAAGGAAGAGAACCGAGATCCAACGACGATAAACAGAGAGAATCAGTCTGCTTCTACCACAGCTCGCGAACGGTCAACGGAGGGCGAACCTCCGCACGTATCAATTCAAATAAATGTTCGATGTGAATTAGCGTAAATATATGTCTTGTAGTTTTTCGTTCAAATAAAGTGTTATTAATTGTAACCGGTGTTAACGTGCATTGTGCCCCGAAGAAGTCCCCGAATTGTGCCCCGTAGAGTGTAATCCGGAACTCCAGGGATTGTTCAGCCAATGCCAGCGAAGTACCACCAACAGCAAACAGCTGGTCCAGCGATGCGACAAGGTCACCCAAGGACGAACATCGAAGGTATCCCAACAGTGTACGAATCGTGGTTTTCTCCATCATTTCCCGTGCCCGACGATCATCATCTGCTTCGACTATCGGTGCGACCTTGACACCAGTACTCTCAACAGTGAAGAACTCCTCGACGAGCGTCAATAGAAGAACATTACAGAACAAAATGAAACCTATGATGTTTTGTAGTTTGAAAGCGTATCTTTCGAATGGACACTGTTTGGTTTGCCGGTTTTTGCCGGTTTTTATGGTGTGTCGACGTGAAAAATGCGTATTTTGACTATAATATTGTTTATAACTTTGACAGTTGTGTGTTTTGTGATTGCAAATAACTTTTTAGAACAAACCTTGTTGATAAAACCGCGTCCAAAAAAGTTATTTAAAAAAACTGTTTTTGGGGGGTCATTTAAAGAAAACGTTCGTTAACTCGTTACGCAATCGTTTAACGAAGTTGATGTCTTGAGCAAAGTTGTTTCATTTGACATAATCTACAACTTTGCTGAAGACACCAACATGATTTGAGCAAGTTTGTAAAATTTTAATTTTGCCCTGCCCTTCTAGGTGGATAGATCAGCAATATCTCAGCACCAAACGATATTCCTTTGAAAACTCTGCAACTCTTCTCAAGACACCATCCTTCTAAAATGTCGTTTTCATACCAAAAAATAAAAAACGCACGTTTTGGGGGGTTTTGAACCACTGTGTATTGTAATAAAAGGAGCTTGTTAGCCTAGTGGCAAACGTTTTTACTAACTGAGCAGAAGACCGTTGGTTCAATGCCAAGCTTCTTCGCGTTATAGGATCATTGGAATATCAATTCAGCTTATCGTCAACCAATACGAATCCTACTGCAAACCCAACCCTCTTACCCAATAACCCAGTGATTGCTCGTGGAAGTACAGAGGACTCCTCGGCTTCTATCAAAGCGAGTGTCACGTCAACACATTCTTACCCAATCTTTTCCTGACCTGCATTCCGACGCGGCCAGCGCTGGTATTGCCTAGTTTGAGATCACCAGTTTTTACACATTGAGGATGATTGCTAGTCCCAAGCATAGTCCATTGGTTCGCTGTTTAATTACAGCTGATCTGTAAATTTCAGAATCTAAGTAAGTTCACCAAGATCTTGAATTACGAATCTTTAAGTCCAGGAGATTTAAAGCTTTTCTAAGTCAATAATTTCAATCCCTTAAATTTATTTTGAACAGAATTTCATGGATTTTTTTAATCATATATATTTTGTGGAGTTTGCATGAACTTTCTGATTTGATAAAACATATTTTAATTACTCAAATACTTCATTTGTCTCTAATATATATAAATTAGAATGTTTATGAAATGACTGTTTAGGAAGGATCTTGCAATTTTATCTTAGTTTTAGAAATATTACAATCGATCTAAATTCGATTACTTTTATTAAAATTTGTATTCTAAGAATTTATATTTACAATCTGTATCGGAGATATCTATCTTTTTAGATACAAAATCTTGAAAACATGTGAGTTTGCGATCTCAAAACTTTTTTTGTTTCAACATTCAGAATGTTGAGAATTGAGCCTGGACATATATCTTGAACATTTTCCTAAACCCTAAAAGAATAAAAAAAAATCCGTGTGCACTTTACCATGTTTCAACTTCAGACTCCTAGAATTTAATTTTGGTTCCTATGTCTGAGATTTAACTGATGCTGAAATATTCAAAATCTATAAAAAAAAAAGCTATTTACAAAATTCATGGAATAACCTAACGCTGAGAATTTTCTAATGTTTGAGATACTTAAATTTATGACATTTGGACGCTATGTGATTTCATTACAAAAAGCATGAACAAACGATCATTGCTTGTTCAAAATCAGTAAGCTTTTAAGGCTCCCCCAATCGAGGTCCCAATCGATGTTATGAAATAAATTCAATAAAATTTATTGTTTCACAATGAAAATTTTAATTTAATTATTTAATAATAGTAAGTCGCAATGATATATTATTGGTCACAGAAATAATGTACCCAAAAACAAGTTGTCTTGTCGAAATTTTATTGAAAAGCATCTACGCAAGTTTTTATTTAGCAAATAAAAAATGCAACAGATGAATTTTCGAGCTACGCCAATGCACTTCTGCAGTGCTGGCAATGCGTTTAAGTCCTGATATTGAACGGATTTTCCAAGCATGGTTCTCTTGTACCTCTACAATATTGCAAAAGATAAATGCTTCATTCACTCGAAGATATTTCAGCTTCTAAACGATAACGCACAAATTTGTACAGAATTATAACATGCTCCATCATGGCTGCTTGAAATCGAAAGCGAATGACATTTCTAGTGCTACTATCA